CCCAAAGCCCGCCGTGCTGTTGATGTCTTGGTCCCTGCATCCGCGTGCTCCAGTGAACAAGAGCTGCTGTCGGTCTTCATGCCCATTCTTCCCGTGCCCGCTTCGACCGTGCCGAGAAAGGGAAGGTGAGGACCACTTCCCCCCCCCCAGAGCCCGCCGTGCTGTTGAAGTCCGGAGCCCTGGCTCCGCGTCGAGGCGGGCAAGCCTCCCCTCCATCTTCATGGCGCCCCTTCTTCACGGACAGCGCCTCGTCGTCGTGTTTGTCGTTGTGGTCGCCGCCGACGTCATCCATCGTCGTCGTCGTGGTCGTCGCCGTCGTCGTTGGTCAACCAGCCTCGAACTTATCCCCATCCCGAAGATTGGCAAGCCCGAGGCGATGACAATCTTAGGGACGTGCCCTAAGAAACTGAGGGAATCCATGAGATCGGCACCGAGGTAAGGCGATGCCAAACAATGGGATAGGGGGTATGTTTCAAGCTGTTAGTTGCTGGCCGCCTGTGCTTCCCTTCTGCCGGGAGCCCGTGCCCCTGCGCCGGGGCTTGCGAACCCATCCCAGAAGCCCAGCATGCCTCCCCCGAGGATCCCACCCCCCGCCGCGCCCGACGGAACACCTCTGATCTGGGATGCCAGCCAGGTGCGGACAAGAAGGGCAGCGCGTGGATCCTGCCCTGGATCCCCCAAACCGCGCCAACAGTGCCTCGCCACCTCCTCCGCCCGCCACCCAAGAAACTCTCAGAACCTTCCAGAGATCACCCAAAACCGTGGCTCCCAATTACTCCTCTGATTTCCGCCACAATACCGCGAGGCACGAATTGGAGTGTCTCCATGTTCCGTCAGCCATCCGTCCGCAGTCCCGAATGAGTGAACATCAAATGTCACGGGCCCAGGCTTCCTCGGGCCGTATCGCGTGTTCTCGCGCGACTTGTTCGGAGCCAAACGGGCCCGAGACCCAACTAATAAACCCCCAAGACGGTTTAAGAGGGCCCCGAGTCGCCGAATGATCGCTTCGAGACACCCAAAACGGCCTCTAGACAGCCAAAGAGGACGCCCCAAGACGGCTCCGCGAGGCCCCCGACAAGAGAGCCCTGATAGCCGCAGGATGCTTCTAAGAGGGGGCCGAGATGCCCCCAAGATGGCCTCCAATATCGCCCAAGACAGACCAAGATGCCTCCTGCCGTTCTTTCTTCGCATAGTTTGCATCAAATAGCTTACACCGCATAGCCTGTTCCACATGTCTTGCAACACGTACCGTACACCAGACATATTGAATCACATAACTTGCACGATATCGCTAGCATCACAGAGCTTGCACCACGTATCTCAAACAGCAAAGCTTACACAACGTAGACTTCAGATCATAGCTTGGACTAAACAGCTTGCACATCCAGAGTGTCAGAAATCACTGCTCTGGATCCACGCGGGTAACCATGCTAGATGTCTCGCCATGCATGACTCCGTGGGCCGCTAAAGTCCAAGGACAAGCTACGTGAAGCCAACTATGACGAAACATCGGCCCACGGCATGATGTGCAAGAGAACCCAACATCGAATCGAAAAGCCAGATCGGAGATCGGAATGAAGCGGATCGGTGGAAGTGGGCAGCCAAATCGGGACAAATCGGATCGGCAGACACCGGCAGGCTAGCAGGCCACCATTGAGAGATCGGAGCCCAAAACGGAATCCGAATACGAATCGAATCGGAGTCGGAGACCATCGAAGTCGAACCGAATCGCATCCGAGGACTCGAGACGGGCCCCGGCTGCGGGCGAGAGCTCCGAAGGGCACAGCGTCGTAAACAGGTCAGTACGCAAGAGAGTCTGGGCGTTCCTACCGACTTCATGCGGGGATGCCGAAGCATCGGCGGTGGACAACCTCCCTTCAGTAAACCACCATTGAGTGAAAACGGCCCAAGACCGAAACCGACGGACCTGGACCCACAAAAATGACGGCCGCGCGACCCTCTCGCGAACCGAAAACGGCCAATGCGCTAATCGACGTTGTCAGGGTAGGAGGTCTATCAACCTCCGAAAGCAGCACGACGGGGGGGGCGATGTGTCCACATGAGACCGCTACCAGTGGCGGGTACGGGTGAGCTGTGGGTTATCCAGGGATCCCAACTTCGCGCTGCGCGAAGCGCGAAGTGCGAGCAACTTCGCGCTCTCGCGCCGCCTCCCAGGGGAGAAGAGGAGGATGAAGAGAAATCGGAGCCAAACAGCGAAGCGCGAATAACTTCGCGCCCTCGAGGGCGCCCTTTCTTATAGGGGAACGAAGAATGACATAAACATGAAAACTCCTAAGTCCGCGCGGATTTCTCGGATCCCCGCTGGACCCCCCTGGCGGCGCCTCCGGCGCCGCCCCTGGCGCGCTCCGCACGCCGATCAGAGAAATCTGAGTTGTTCCCCAATCAGAGCTTGCCTCTGTAGGGGTCCTAGCGGATATACAGCTGAGGTGAGGTGAGCGGCCGATTTCGGTGGCCAGGGCCGGGTGCCCCGGTGCCCGGGGGTTCCCGGGGGTGCCCGGGTGCCCAGGTGTGTGGCCGATTTCGGTGGCCGGGGCCGGGTGCCCGGGTGCGCCCGGGGGTGCCCGGGGGTGCCCGGGTGCCCAGGGATGCCCGGGTGCCCGGGGTGCCCAGAAGTGCCGGGGGTGCCTAGCCCAATAGCCCTATATCCCTATAGCCCAATAGCCCAATCGCAATATATCCTTATAGCACTATAACCCTATAGCCCTATAGCCGTACCTATGCGACCACCCTTCGGGTGATAAGGAGGTTCGGGGGGGGAACCAACGTCTCACTCGATCGGTCTCACTATCGATCTCAGTATCGATCTCACTATCGGTCTCGCTCGATCGATCTCACTCGATCTCACAATCGATCGATCTCGATCTCACAATCGATCTCACAATCGATCACACAATCGATCTCACATTCGGTCTCAATATCGATCTCACTATCGATATCACAATCGCTCTCACAATCAACGTCATCATCATCATCATCATCATCATCATCATCATCAGCATCATCATCATCATCATCATCATCATCATCGTCATCATCATCATCATCATCATCAACATCATCAACATCAACATCATCACCAACATCATCATCATCATGAGGGCACCGTCATCATCATCATCATCATCATCATCATCATCATCATCTTCATCATCATCATCATCATCATAAACATCATCATCATAAACATCATCATCATCGGGACAACATCATCACCAACATCATCATCATCATCATCATCATCATCTCATCATCATCAACATCAACATCATCATCATCATCATCATCATCATAATCACCATCATCATCATCGGGACACAGTCATCGTCATCATCATCAGCAGCATCATCAGAATCATCATCATAATCGGGACACCATCATGATCACCATCGTTCTCATCATCAACATTATCATCAACATCGTCATCATCCTCGGGACACCATCATCATCATGATCATCGCATCATCATCATCGACATCATCATCATCATCATCAACAACATCATCATCATTGGGGCACCATCATCATCATGAGCAACATCATCATCAACATCGTCATTATCATTATTATCGTCATCGGGACACCATCAGCATCACCATCATCATCACCATCATCATCATCAGTATCATCATCGGGACACCATAATCATTATCACCAACATCATCATAAACATCACTATCGCCAGGACACCATTTCCATCAAAATCATCATCACCAACATCATCGGAATCATCATCATCATCATGAGCAACATCATCATCATCATCATCATCATCATCAGCATCATCATCATCGTCATCATCATCATCGGGACACCATCATCGTCATCATCATTAACATAATCATCATGAGAATCATCATCCTCATCATCGGGACACTATCATCATCATCGACACCATCATCAACATCATCATCATCTTCATCGGGAAACCATCATCATCATCATCATCATCATCATCATCATCATCATCATCATCATCATCATCATCATCATCATCTCATCATCATCATCATCCTCGCGGGACACCGCGGGACACCGGCGGGACACCGCGGGACACCGCGGGACACCGCGGGACACCGCGGGACACCGGCGGGACACCGCGGGGCCCCGCGCCCTGGATGAGAAACATTTGGTCCGGCCGCGCCTCAGCCACAGGAGGACACCGCGGGACACCGGCGGGACACCGCGGGGCCCCGCGTCCCGGAAGAGAAACATTTGGTCCGGCCGCGCCTCAGCCACAGGAGACTTTTTCTCGCTCGCCCACGCAGTTTCGCCTCGCACGCACGGCACGCACGAACACGAAACCGAAACCGATTTCCCGGTGGGGGGCTCGCCGTTCCACTTCGATCTCACCCCCTCACCTCCGATAGCCCTATAGCCCAATAGCCCAATAGCCCAATAGCCCCATAGCCCTATAGCCCCATAGCCCTATAGCCCTATAGCCCTATAGCCCTATAGCCCTATAGCCCTATAGCCCTATGGTCCTAAAGCCCTCTGGTCCTAAAGCCCTATAGCCGTATATAGCCCTATAGCCCTATAGCCCGAATAGCCTTATAGCCCTTAGCCCTATAGCCCTATAGCCCTGTAGCCCTATAGCCCCATAGCCCTAAAGGCTTCTAGCCCTATATCCCTATGGCCACATCGCCCTATAGGCCTCTAGCCCCATAGCCCTAAAGCCATAAAGCCCCATAGCCCCCCTCCAAATTCTGATTGGGGTGTTTCTCTGGTATCATTATGTTTATGTCGTTTGTCGTTCCCCTAATTAGTGGTGGGTATGGGTGAGTTGGGGGGTATGCGTTATGCCTGAGCGTTGGCCACGGCATCAGCATGAAGCGAAAGCGCTTCATCGCCTTCCTCCTCATTCGTATGGGAGTGTCGCCCTGCTGCGTGATCCAATGTTTTTTTTCTTGCGGGCGCCCCACAGTGGCACTCAGGCGCACGTGTCAGCGACTACCTCTTATATCGGTTCCCTCCTCCTGCTCCCAGCTTCCCGCATCCCTCCCCGCTGGCTGAGCTGGCGGGGCGCGTCTACAGGGTGGAAAAAGCGCGAAGTGCGTGCCGCGGACGCAGTGACCGTGGGAGGTGGACGAGAGGACGTGTGAGAGCTGCGGGAAGGCTGGACCTCGGCAGATCACAGCGGCACCGAAAGAGCACTGCCACCGGCAAAGTGCATCACACGAAGGCGACCTTAGAAGAGGAAAAAACGCCACAAAAATTCACTTATGGCGCTCCGCGCGGATTTCTTGGATCTGCGCCGGACCCCCCTCCCTAGAGCGCGAAGGGCGCCAAGGGCGGCGCCGGAGGTGCCGCCTGAGGGGCCCAGCGCGGATCCGAGAAATCCGCGCGGAGCGCCAAAAGTTTATGTTTATAGCGTTGCTTCGTCTCCGAATCACACGAAGGCGACCTGGCCGTGGTCGACCAGGGGCACAGGCCCCCCGACCTGGAAGGGCTTGCCAGTCTGGCTGTTCAAGGTGTCCGCCTCCTCCATGATGCCGAGGGCCTGATCGTGCGCGCCGTCGTCGCCGGACCGCATGGCCTCGCGCAGCGCCTGCTTGGCGAACCAGTAGGCGGAGCTGAGCTTCCCCTTCTGGAGGCTCTCCTGTGGGGGGAGCAGAGTCCCAGACCAATCTCCGCTAGGACCCAATCAGTGCAAGCACTGATGGGGGAATCACGACGGGAAGCTTTTCGCTATGTTCTGCCTTTCGAGGCCCCGACCGGCCCTCAGGACCGTCCAAACACGACTCAGGATGAAAAGCCGGTCCAGGGGAATGCGTCGAGACCTCCAGGGGTCGACGTAGTGAAATCGGCGGTGGACAAACCTCCCTGTAGTAAACCACCCTTGAATGAAAACGGCCTAGGACCGAAACCGACGGACCTGGACCCGCAAAAATGACGGCCGCGACGCCCTCTCGCGAACCGAAAACGGCCAATTCGCTAATCGACGCTGTCAGGGTAGGACGTCGATCGGGGGTCTGGTGGGTCTGCCGCCGTGCCGCGGCGGGGCACCCAATGCGGCGCGCTCGGGACCTCAGGGGCCCCCAGCCTTCGACGCGGAGTGGCCGGCACACTCTCCCGAGGGCCAGCGGCGACGATAGGGGCGAATAGCCCGGGGGCGGGCATTACACGCACTCGTCCGGGAGCCTCTGTCGAAGACATGGACCATCGGCGCCCCTGAGTGCGTGTGTTGATCTCCCCCCGGGCCACTCGCCCCCGTCGTCGCCTCCGAGAGGGCCACTGGGCACCATAAGCCACGGGCGGAACCTCCGGCGTGCCACTCGGGGCTTGCGCGCGCTCCCGCAGGACGTCGCCTGAGGCGAGAGGGCCCGCAGGCGGGGCAGGAGGGTCCCTCGAGGCCCCCCCCCCATACGGTCCACGAGGCTCTCGCGAAGGGATGGACCGAGCCCCCTTTGCAGTAAAGCGTGGCTTAGTGAGCACGACCTCGGGTCCAAGCCTGGCGGGCGCAAGCCTGGAAGATCACGGCCGCGGCACCCTCTTGAGAACCGAAGGCGGACGATTAACGAATCGACGCGTCAGGGTGGGGGTTCTGTCCACCCCCGAGATTCAGCAGCGCCCCGGGACAGTTCAAGATGCCCCCCACGGCAGCCCAAGAGCCCCCCACAACGCCTTAACAGGGCCCCGCGAGGCACAAACACACACACACACACACACACCAGTGATGTTCTTTGCTTGTTCGAAGGGTTGTGGCGTTATCGTGATTCTGGATTGCCCACGTTTCGAGACCGGCCCAACAGGCACACAAGAGGCCCTCAAGACGGCCTAAGATGGCTCCAAGACGGCCCAAGGAGGCTCAAGAGGCACCCAAGAGGGGTGACCAGAATTGAGATTTCGAGCCTTTCCCCAAACATGGCTCCCGGCATCACCAGCAGGGCCCAAAGGAGCACCAAGACGCCCCAAAGAGGCTCCAAGAGGCCTCCAAGATGCCCCAGGAGGCACCCGAGACGGCCCCAAGAGGCTCGCCCTCCAAGAAGCACTCCATTACACCCTAAGATGCATCCGGGAGGCCTCCAATCAACGAGCCCAAGCAAGAAGGGCCGAAGGCCACTAGACACGCGCAAAGAGGTGCTTAGCGTGCCAAATGTTCTAACACGTTTGCTGCCATCCCGCGGGCCACCGGTGCGGGCCCCAAATCCAAAAACAGATGCTCCAAGATGGCTTCCAAGGTCCCAAGACGCCTCCAAGACGTCGAAAATGGCAGCAAGCGGCCCAAGATGGAGCCAAGACTGTCCAACCTGGCCTCAAGACGGCCCAGGAGGCCCCTGAGACGCGCCAAGTTGCTCCAAGAGGCTCTCCAGGAGGCCCTCTGCACACCAAACATCCTTGTGATATTCTTCTGCATGTCAAGAGGATGTTCGCATCCTCGCCCTCCTAGCTTCCGACGGCACAAGACAACCATAGAAACGTCCAAGATAGCGTCAAAACGGCCCCGAACAAGGGCCCCCAAAGGGGCCAAGACGGCCCCAAGATGGAACCACATGCCCCCGGGAGGCCTCCGGGAATATCCTGGAGACCTCCAAGACGGCCCGGAAGCGTCCCGGCAGGGCCCCAAGACGGCCCGAGAGGCCCCCATGAAGGCCTCCGCAAAACAAGCGACCCCTCGCATGCCCCCTGAAGCTTTTTTTGGTGCCCGGACAGAACACCTGGGCGCCGCAACCCGAAGGGAGGTGCCCAAGGTCCCTGCGTGAATTCACATGCAGTTGGACCTCGAAACATAAACGGCGGCACAGACCCGCTCCAGGCGTCACATCTGCGCCACCGGCACAACCCCCCCTTGGCCGCCGGCCTCAAGCAGCGGAAGCCCCGCTGCCCAATAAGTTCCCGCGCCCCCCACGTCGGGGGACTCCTTCGAGTAACCCCATCGGGCGTCTCAGGGGTGGCAAGGCGGGCCCGCACCTGCTGTGGCTGCCCTGAAGAGGCGGCCTCCTCTGCTGCTTTCTTCTACTCTTCCCTCTCACATCTCTCTCCCCCTCGTCTTCCTGCCAGGGTCGTCACGACTGCTCGGGGAAACACACATGGCCCAATAGCTTGGCAAGAGTTGGAGCAACGGCCCAACGTGTGGCCGCATACAGGCGCTTCCAACATGCATGGGGCGGCGCTGGTTAGCCGTAATCCCGGGGTGGGAAAGGGGTGCGGTGTACAGGGGTGTGGTGCCAATGCTAGATCTGGAGAGGTCATTTATCGTAGATAGCATTGCCATGTCCACGATTGGCACCACACCCCTTTACGCCACACCCCTTTCCGACCTCCAGACGTAAGCGCCTTCGGTACCGATACCCGCAATCCTTTGCCATCCCCCGGGATGCGTTCTGGCCATGCTACCGGGGCGCATCCCGCCGCGGCGACGAGGGCAAAGACGGGGGAGGGGCATCGGTGTCTCTGTGCGTTCTTCCCCTCATGCGTCTATACGCAAGAGTGGCCCTAGACAAGAGGTGCGCGCGGCGATAAGGGGGCCGCGGAGAGGTCACATCTGAGCCCCTAATAAAATGCTCGGGGGAGGACCCTTGCGGGCCAACACCAGAAATCACTTCAGCGAAGGGTCACTATTACACACAGCCGTGGGAGGCAACGTTAGGAGGGTCAGATCAGGGGGGAAACATCTGCCTGAAATCGGCGATACAACGCCAGCAGATCGGCGATACACCCCTGACGGAGATTCCCCACCGTCCTGAGCGCGGTGGGCTAACTCAGAACCCTGTCGGCGATCACGGTCGAACCTCGGACAGAAGAACATCCTTCAAGAACGTGAGAACCTCCGCAGGCCAAAGCACCCCTAACCATCAGACCACTCGAGGGTACCCTCCTCCAGGGTGCACATGAACATCCAACAAGGTCCCCTCCCCGAGACGACCTCGACCTTATACCTCGGTCCGACCGTCATGGGCGAGTGGGGGTCGATGCCATCACGCCGCACCTGACATTCTGCCTCCTCTCTCCTTCTCCCCCCCTCCTGCCAAGAGCCGCCAGAGGCCTCCCGAGGAGTCCTCCCCTTCCTTCTCCCTCCTCCCTCCCCCCTTCATTCCTCCCTCATCCTCCAACTGCTCTCCTCCTCCTCCTCCTCCTCCTCTTCCTCCTCCTCCTCCTCCTCCTCCTCCTCCTCCTCCTCCTCCTCCTCCTCATGCCTCCTCCCTTCTCACTCCCTCGGCCGAAGAGGACGGCCACAGGAAGGGGGGCCAGCGTGCCTCCACAGCTCTGACCCGAGTTGCCTGGAGGCGCCGGTTGCCACCACCCGATGCTCTCTCCTTGGGGCCGTGAGCGTCCCCTGCCGGCGGACTGTGCAGGTCAACGTCAATTCACCGATGCACTCTGGCGTGTGGCCCCCCACGTGCTTCAAATGTACACCAAGGGTGACGGTTCGGCCCGTGCCGCCGCGGCGTCACATGTGCCGCCGTGGCGCCATTCCTGCGGTCGATCCCGCTCGCCACGCCACCACTTCACCGAGCTCTCCAAGGACGGGATTGCCAAACCATTCTCTTCTATCCCTGGAGACCTCCCTCTGCCATCTTGAGCGCACGTTTGTGGCCGGGCCCCCTCTCCGCTCCTTTCCTTCTCTTCTAAAAGAGAGCTGGTGCTCCCGACATGTCTGGGGAAAGCCGGTCGTGAGCCAACGGTTGGGGGGCCCGTCCCCCGGGTCCCTTCCCCCTCCCTGCCCTTCCCCGTTGGGGGCCTTCCAGCTTTTCCGCAGGCGTCCATGTCAAGGCCGATGTCTGCGTATACTGCCCCTTCAGCTCCTCTCGGGCAGAAATTTGTTGTGTTAACTCGCTCTCGGCTGTCCCCCCCCCTCCCCCCCGGCTCTGGCGGGGGGGTAACAGAACACAGCTACGCTTTCGAGGCACTATTTTGAACGTACTGGCCTAAGCTTGAATCCACGCCGCTCCACTACTGCGAAACAGAATGGACACTGAATCGTCAGCGACGCCGCCCCCTTCCTTTTGGGTGTCCCGGCCTATCCGCGACCGAGGGTTGTTCGCACCTCCCCCTCCTTGGGAAGCCGCGGGCGGAAATCGTGACACGCGCCCAGAGAAGAATTCCCTGACCTCCCCGTGCCCCCATGAACCTCTTCCCCCTCGCCGACCTGCCATTTCCTCCCCTCCTCCTGCCTCCCCTCTCTTCCTTCGGATCCAAACTGTTCTCTCCCACTTCCAGCTCTCCCCTTCTCGGGCGCCCCCGCACCAAGACTCTCATTCTCAGAACCTTGCGGATCGCGAATGGCGCCGACGCTCGGGCTCGGGCAGGCTGCCCTCCTTCCCCCGCCACCCTGGTGAGGACCATCACAGGCCTGGCCAGTGAGGGCCGTCCTCGGCCGCACAACCCTCGCGGCATCCGTCAGAGGAGCTGCTTGGGCCGCCCTGTCCCACCAATATGCACACAAGGGGGCCGAGGCCCTCCCTGCGACCCCTCGGCCAACGAAGACGGCCGTGTGGGAGAGGGAGGCCAACGTGCCTCCACAACCCGACCTTCACACCTGAAGGCACCAATTGCCAACATCCAGTGCTTCCCTCCCTCCTCCATCCCTCCTCCCTCCCCCCTCCTCTTCCACCTCCCTCCCTCCTCCGCCCTCCCTCCTGGGGAAGCAACAAAAGTACAGATGCCGCTGCTTCCCCGACCTCTGCCGGACCAGAACAACGCCGAGGCGAACCCCGCGGTGGCGCCGAGGGCCTCCCGGGAGGCCCCAACGGGCGAAAACGAGAGGGGAAGGGCAGCGGCATCGTTGCCCTCTTTTCCTCCCAGAGGCGACGATAGGGGCTAATCGCCCAGGGGAGAGCCATACGTGCATGCAGGTGCGCCGATGATCTGCGTCTTCGACAAGGCTCCTGGGCGAATGCGAGAAAATGCCCGCCCCTGGGCTCTTCGCCCCCATCGTCGCCGCCGATCCTCCCTCCCTCTGAGCAGAGGCCGACCGTCCCGGCATGCCTAGAAAATGTCCTTAGAACAGGAACCCGACGTGTTGAAACAAGACAGCCCCGGCCAGAACTGTTCTGAGAACAGTCCGTGGAAACCACAACAAAGGCTCCTAGAACATTGTCTGGCAGGGCCATCGGCGAGCCAGGACGCACCGCCACTGCTTGCTCCCTCCCTCCCCCTGCCCGCCTGGGCCCGCTCGAGCAGCCCGCGCACGGCCCCGGCGCCCAGCAGGTGCCCGGCCACGGCGCCCTTGGCCAGGGCCGCGGCCTCCGCCGGCGTCCCCGCCGCGGCCGCCTCCAGCGCGGAGGCCAGCAGCGCGCGGGCCTCGCGCGCCCCGGCGGCGTCGCCGGCGGCCTCGCAGAGGGCGAGGGCCTCCCTCGCGCTGGCGAGCATGGCGTCCTCGCCGCCGTCTAGGTAGCCGCCCGAGGCGGCGCGCGAGGCGAGGTGCGCCGCGGCGAGCAGCGCCAGGCCCTGGGAGCGGCAGCCCCGCTCGCCGTCCTCGAGCAGCATCAGCCGCCGCGCCGTCTCGGCCGCCTGCGCGGGGGCCTCCATGGAGAGCTGCGCCGAGAACGCGCCCCGCAGCGCGGAGGCCTGCTCCTGACGTGAAGGGCAGCGTCAGGGGGGGGGGGAGCACCGACCTGGAATCGGCGACAGATCGCCGACGGATCGGCGATCGATGGGCCCCCCGATCGCACATCCGCACGCTGCTGGGCAGGTTGGCGTTCATCGAGCACCTCTCGGCGATCAACGGGCGCCTGGGCCTCCAGGCGCCCCCCCCCCCTGTGCCCGCCCCATGAGCTCCTTCGCCATCCCGGCGCCGCGGTAGCACTCGCCGGCTGCGGCGTACGCCTCCGCCGCCTCGGCGGCGACGCCCGCGCCGGCCTCGGCCTGGGCCCCGCCGTCGGCGGCCTGTGCTGTGGCCGCCTTGGCGACCAGGAGCCAGACCTCTGCCTTGCAGCGCTCCTGCCCCGGGCCCGCCGTGGCGCCCACGGTCTGCAGCGCCTCCCTGGCGCTTGCCACCGCGGCGTCGGGGTCTCCGCGTGCCAAGTGCACGCCGACCACGAGCTGGTAGGCCTTGGCCGTGGCCTCCGCGTCCTTCTGCGCGAGGATCGCGTCCATCCCCTCGGTTGCGTCGGCAAGGGCCTCGTCCAGGCTGCCCGACTCGTAGTGGCAATCCAGGACGAGCTTCAGCGAGGCTGCCAGCTGCGCAGCTGTCGTCGCTCTGGCCTGGCACTGCTTGGCGGTCTTGATCGCGCCTCCGACGTCACCCGCGAGCAGCTTCAGGGCGACCACCTGCGCCGTGCCTCCTGCCTGCTCTGCGGCCACCATCGCCTCCTTCAGGGTGTCCTTCTCCATGGCCGCGGCGCGAACAAGGTAAGCGTCCACTGCAGCAAGAACCTCTGCATCGCCGCCCGACTCTCGAGCCTTCGCGAGGGCCCTCTTGAACAGAGCCTGCGCCGCAGACGGCGCGCCTTTGACGACGCCGGCCTCCAGCTTGTCCCTGTTGACGAAGTTCAGGTCTCCCCTCGGCGCAACCTCTGGCGGCGCCCGCACCTCCAGCACCTTCTTCCAGCTCATGGCGTACAAGTTGCCGTACAGCTCTGAGGGCGGCCTCCAGCCGAAGGTCTTGCGGTTGTAGTCGCCTTTGCCCTGCCCCTGGGGCTCCTTCAGGGGGCCGCGCTTGTTCTCGTGCAGCCACTGGCCCAGGCTGGCGGCGCTGGTTATCTGCGGCGTGTACCACGTGCCGTCGTGATACATCAGCTCACGGTACTCGTTCAAGGGGGCATCGAGGCACCCCTGAACCACGTCGGAACCTAGGCCGAGGGGTATGTCGATGCAAGTGATGAGGATCTGCGGCATCTCGGCCCTCATGTCACGGCAGGCCTGCCACACGGCCTTCTGGATGTCATTACGGACGGGACCAGGGCCATAGTCCTGAGGGGGAGCGTTAGGAGGGGACCAGCTCAAGGGGGAGCATCGAGCTGGAATCGGCGATACACCGCGCGTAAATCGGCGATGCGCCCCCCGTGGCGAATCCGCACGTTCCTGGGCCAGGTGGGCTATCGGGCCTCTATCGCCGATGAACGGGCGGCTTGGGGTCGATGCATTCCCCCCTGACCCTGTCACCCCCCCCGACTGCTGCCCCTGAAGTCCATCTCTCTGCCGAAGCAGCCGCGGGTGACGACCACGATGGGGATCCCGTCGGCCAAGGACTGCCCCAGCGCCGCCACGGGCGTCGGGGTGTCCACGGGCATGAAGGTCTTCGACAGGGCAAACGTGCGCAGCAGCGCGGCGAGGTGCACGCCGCTGACGTACACGCCCTTGAAGACGCCCGTCTCGTCCACGCCGCCCGCGACGATGTCGCACTGGCCCGAGCCATCCTCAAAAGTAACACACAACTGCACACACACACACACACACACACGCAAGCTTTCGGAGGTCCGCGTGGATCTCTTGCATCTGCGCCCCCCCCCCCCCTCCCTGGCGCGCGGAGCGTGCCGGGGGCGACGCCGGAGGCGCCGCAAGGCGCCTCCGGCGCAAAAATCCAAGAGATCCGCGCGGAGCTGCGACGCTCTCTGCTCGTGCAGAGCTGTTCCCCTTCGGATCCTGCAGCCACGGGTACATCCTCTTCAGCGGTGGCGGCTCGAAGTTCTTGCGCGGGCCGCCGGCGGCAACCTCCGCGCCGGCGCCGCCGCCGCCCGTGCGCCTCGGCGCCATGGCACCTCGCGGCCTGTGGTCGCGGGAAGCGGCGGCAGAAGCGGGTCCTCGACCGCGTTGGGGCGCCCTGAGCCGTGCGTCGCGCGCGTTCTGTGAGGAGAGAGGTGGGCTATCTTCGGGAGCTGCAAGAACTGGACCCCGCTTGGGATCGACGGGCCCCTTTCTCTGGTTCTGATAATGATGCTCCAATTCCTTCCCACGACAACTAGACCGCTACTCGTTTCGAGACGGGCTGGTGGTAGAACTCAATGTCTGATTGCTCTCCACTCCGGCCGCGGGATGGACAAAAACGGCTTCGGAATGGGGAAGGAGGAACAACAAACTGAGGAAAGGAGGAAAAGGACGAGGAGGGGAGGAGGGCAGCAGTCTTAATTTGTTCCCATATGGCCCAAGTCGGCGCATTCCTAATTCTTCTCTCGCGAAACGCGAACAAATCCTTGTCTCAATGTCCGCCCGATGTCAAAAAAGGAGGAGGACGAGGCGGACAGTGGAGGACGAGGATGGGGGAGGAACGCGTTCGGGCGTGGGCCAAAAAAGAGAAAGCGGAGCAGCAACACCACTTGAGGAGGGACCGACCGTCCCGGCATCTCTATAGGCCTACCACGACATGTTCTTAGAACCCGAAAATGTTCTGAGAACGAAAACACGGTGTTTAGAACATAAGCCCGATGTGTTAAAACAAGAGAGCCCTGGCCAGACATGTTCTAAGAACAGTTCGTACAGACCACCAGAAGGTTCTTAGAACATTGTTTGGTACACCCTGCGAAATGCTCAAGAAATCATGGGATAAGAAATTCATAGTCTCAGAAATTGAATGAAACCCAGAACTTCTATCAAAATCTTGGGATTTACATTGAAACGGTAAGAATAATCGAGACTCTGGCCGAAAACTTCGATTTTCTTAAGCATCGCATGAGGTGTAGGCCTATTGGCACGCCGGGACGCTTCGCCACTGCTTGAACCACAGGGACGAGCAGGACGGCCCACGTGCCCACGCCGCCGCTCCGTCTGCTGCGTGTCCTGGGAACGGCCGGCCGCCCGTCTTGCTCCTTTTGGACTCTCCTTTTGTTGCTTGTTGGTGCTCGACTCATTCGTATCCTGTTGCTGCTGCTGCCGTTGTTGTTGGATTGATCGTTTCTAGACTCCCCGATCTCGTGTTGGACTCTCATCTCGGGCCCTGCCTCCGTCTGCTGTGCGAGGTTCGTCGCATGTCAGTGGCACTGCAGATGAGAGACAGAAGCACAACTACCACCAGCTAAAGGGGTGGCCGCTCCATCCCCTCGAGCTGGTGGCACCTCCTTTAGGGAACTCTCTGGAGGCATGCCCGGAACGAGGTGCCACCGGCTCGAGAGGGTAGGACAGCCACCCCCTAGCTGGTGGTAGAGGTACTTCTGTCTCTGGTGAACTGCGCTGTCTGTGTGCGGCTTGTGTGCATACGTTGCTGGCTTTCTCCCCCGTCCACCCAACGCTGGCCCCCCTGCGAAAGCCCCAATTCACCACCCCGAACCAGCCCGGCACGTGCCCACGCTCCGCACTGGCAGCAGGACGCCCGAGGAGGAGCCAGAGCTGCCTGGAGGAAGAGAGGCACACGCCAAGGGACCCCCAGGGCCTCGGAGACGCACACGAGAGCCCAAATCCCAAGTCGATCCATCATCTCGGCGCCGAGCGAGGGGGGGGAAGGGAGAAGGAGCAGGCCTTCTCAGAAGGCGGCGGGGCTTCTCAAAGCGTTCCGGCCCTCTGAGAAGCTCTCTGCCACCTCGGGGAAGGAGCAACAAAAACCTCTCCGAAGGCTGGGGCACTCCAGGACGAGGCCAGGACGAGGCTCACATCGGGCGAGGATACATGGGGAGTCGTTGAGCCCTGGCGGCTCTGGAGGATGTTTCGGGCGTCGCGGCCTCCTCCGCGCATAGCGGAACGCTCTGTTAGCGCTCCGGAGAGCCCCGTCTCGTCCCAGCCCCGTCCCCGAGCGAGGCCTGCCACCCCTCCCAGCCCCGTCCCAGCCCCGTCTCGTCCCAGCCCCGTCCCAGCCCCGTCCCCAGAACAGCTTCGTCCTCGTCCCCGCCCCGAGCGAGGCCTGCCACCTCGCACTTCCCCCCCCTCCGGCGCGCCGCCGAGATCCGACCCGGAGCGGGGAGACCGAGCAAAGGGCGGCAAGAGCGGGCTGCGCCTCGCAGCGGTTCCGCCTTTTTCTCGCGTGCTGGCACGGAGGGGCTGACTGTACGGCGCGCCCGCTCCCAGCAGACGATGGCTGCCGCATGCACTGGCCACCGAGCCGCTCCAGGTTGGGCTCTCAGAGTCCTTCGCATCCTCTCGCTCCACACCCCCGTCCTCTCGATGGCTCTGGTTCCTCGGTGCCGTGGCGGCGACGAAGAAAGCAATCGCCACTGCTGACACTACAGGCTCACAACCAGTCTTGAGCAAGAAGACGTCCGTGAACTCGCTGAGCCTGCAGAGTAGCGAGAGACAAATGCGGGCACGCAAGATTTCCCTGTCGAGAATTCAAGACAAAGTATGGCTGAAGCAACCCCAATTCTGGCCAGTCCACGAACCACTCAGCTGACAAACGTATGGTATAGCAACTTGCTCTGACTTCCATCCCTCATATCCCTTGTACCCGCCCTCGTCTTTCGTTGCCGCAGAGGCGAATACGTGTCGATGGCAGCAACTGGCGTCAGATCAGCGCGTATGGAACCGGCAAAGCAGCGATCGGACCCAGCTGTATTCTGTATTCCATTGCGGCCGCTAAGCGATGCTGGCCGCCATGGGCGGGTCCCACCTGCCCCTGGGCGTGTCTGGTGCACGCTAGAACGAATTATTCTCATACGCGAGCAACTCATGTGTAAACCCCGACAGCTGACACACACGCGAGAGAGGCAGGAGGGACCGGATATGTTTGGCACGCGTCAGGAATCCCACCGTCACTTTTGGGCGCACATGGTTTAGAGAGTTAAATCGCCCAACCTTATCATTTTCCCCGTCGGGGGGGGGGGTACCCCTCCCCGGCCCCATTTCCTTGAATGTGGAACCCTCCCCCCGCGACGCGTTAGAGCGTCCAGCATGGCCCAATATGGCCCCAAGGAGGCCTCAGATAGCCCAGGATGGCCTGCAACATCGCTCAAATAATTCAAACTAACTTCAAACGTGCATGCAAAAGGCCCAGAGGCCACACTCAAGAGTGTTCCCAGTGGCCACGAAACCTCCTGGGCGCCCCCGAAAGGCAAATCGCATTCCAATACCTCGGGGGGGAACCCATGCTTGTCACCTCTCGCCTTTTTGCTTCCGACGGGCTCTTGAAACATCAAGGCGGCTGCAAGATGGAGCAAAAGGGAGCCTGGAGAGGGGGGCAGGAGGGTCCAAGACAGCCCCATAAGCCGCTAAAGTTGCCCACCAAGATACGATGTGTCTGCCTCCGCCGAAGGAGGCGTAATTAGTTGACCCCCAGGAAGGCCCCACGGCTCCAAAGGGAGCCCCAGAATCATCCAAAATGGCCCCGCGATGGCCCAAGTGAGCTGCCAAGCGGCTCCCATCTCGAAAAATCGGGAAAGGCATTCATGTTTGACTCGTCGGCCTGCTCAGGACGGCTGCGCCGCCGCGAGATAATCCGCTGCGTGCTCCAACGTTCCCCGATCAATGCATCTCGCGTGCGCGCCGATACCTGGTGGGCTCGTGCGGGCACGCCCAACGTTCGGGGATCGCAGGAAACCAAAAACTGAAATGCAAGAAAACAAAACTGCAACGCAGGGTTTCGCAAACCTGGGTCAACCAACATGCGCGGCCGCATCGCGGTCACGAACGGCTCGCTAACCCGGGCCAGCCAGAGGGAGTTTTCGCAGGATCTTGCAGGATCCGGTGCCCTGGCAGACCCCCGTTTGCATTGACCCCTGTCTCAAGTCTCCCGAAACGTCATGAACTGCAGGAGACCGGAGGGATGAAAAGCAAGTCCGTCGATCAGAGCACCAAGGCAGCCAACGCCGAGGCGAGAGCCCGAGACCTGCATCCACTGCGACGAGGGCGCAGACGAGATGACGATCTCTGTGCTGCGGGGGCGCCGAGTCCAAGTTGACTGGTTCGAAACGAACGTACGATTCCTGGGAACACGGCGCGGCGCAGTCTGTCCGTTTCGCCAGGAATCTTGGAATATGAACTCCCCGCCTTGTATCGGCGGCGCGCCCGGGGAGGGAGGCTGAAGGGCGGTCTCTTCAGACGGCTCACGAGATGTCCGGGATTCTGGAATTCTGTTCAAGCGTTCTCCGAAATCACAGGGGCTCCTGTCGGAGGCCTGGAAATTGGCACCAACACCAAGACAGAGGGTTGCCTCCACAGGGGAAGATGATCCTCGATTTTCGGTGTTGGTGGTAATAAGTCGGCCACCGTGGAAGCCAGAATATTACCACCGTCACCGAGATCGGGATCTTCTTCCCCCGGTGGAGGCACACCGCCGAAATTGGTGTTCGTGTCAATCTCTAGGCCTGCGATCTTGAGAAGGCTGGCGGGCCTCCGAACTCTGAAGCACCCTGCCGCCTTCTGGAAAGCCCCGCCCCTCGCACTTGCCCATCCGGCGCGCCGCCGATCGCCGCCTCCAGACGGCTTGCCAGGCGCCGGAACCCGCGTGAACGCGGACGGTCGGCAGGAAGGCCCAGACACCAGCGATGCGGGACTAGGTGGCGACGTCCTCGGCTCAGGGGTGACCAAAAAATTGAGGTGTTTGCGTGCCAGCGCATTTTCTTTTGCGTTGTTGGGCGCCCTGGCGCGGACGGCCGAACGACCCCTGCAGCACCCTGGCCACACGATCGCCGCCAAAAACTGCGCGTTGAAGGGACTCTGGCGGTCCGGAAGGCGAACGCCACAGGACGAGCCGTGGCACGTGATGTTTGGGGTTGGCCGGCGCCACCACTCGGCGGTGGATAAGCCTCCCTTCAGTAAACCTCTCCTTAGTGAAAACGGCCTGGGACCGAAACCGACGGACCTGGACCCGCAAAAATGATGGCCGCGACGCCCTCTCGCGAACCGAAAACGGGTAATTCACAAATCGACGTGTCAAGGTAGAAGGTCTATCCACCTCCGAACAA